GTATGTATATTCTAATAAATTATATTCTTACATCATAATCTTACTATCATGCGGCTGTAACACTTTAATTTCACCACCACTTTTTAAAAAAAATCTTTTTAATTTATCTTTTCATAGAGCTCTAGAGCTTCAGCTGAGCTCTAGCACTATTGTTCTAGTTGTACTATAGGTATTAAGGAATTATGGAAAAGTCCTCAAATGAAGGAAGTATTTTACATACTGCCTAATATACAGTATTAACAGATATTGTTACAGTGCTATAGTAAAATTTGATATCTAACAATTATACTGTATGGGAGATCTGCCATTTCCACACATAATTCTTCTCATGGAAAGACACAGCAATACAAACAGAGCTAAAGACACCAAGCTTTTTGTTTTTTGCCACTGTGTGGCAACCGACACGTCACCTTTATCTTTCCTTTTGTTCCCTTTTCTCTTGTTGCAAAAGTCAAGCCAAGTAATTTAGATAACCGTAATCAGATCCATACATCACCATCAGAGCTGTATATCTGTGCTTGGCTTTCTATTCAGACATGTTCTTATTAAACACAGAGGGGAAATTACACCTTCTGTGTTTTACATACAGAAGAGATGAAATAGATAGCTTTATTGCTGCTTATTGTTTCTTTTTCTCATCTGTGCTTTGAATGAGGCTCAGTAATTCACCAGATAACCATGCAGGTTACAGCGCAGAACAGCAGAACTCTGTATGTTTGCCAGATTGTTAAAAGGTAGAATTAGATGGTGAAATAGAGGCCATGATTTAGTATTTTACTAATACCAAGCGCTTATTTGCATATGTAATGGGATGACTTGCGCACACACAAAAAATGGCCATGTTGCAGGTGATAACAATATGTAAATGTGCTTTTTGTGCACACTAAATGTTTCTGGTATCCGTGGTGTGTATGCATACCAAAAAGACAACAGAGTAAAACTGAGCACTCTATTTTCAAAACAGCTTTGAGTGTGTTTGGCATCTTCGTGACCATTGGCTATAACATAGTACAGAGCAGAGCAGATGTAAACAGCAGTTGGGTTTAAATGAATGTATTAGTAAGAGGTGTGATTGAGCGTTTTGTCATGAGATGGTCTTCAAATTCATTCAAATTTTATATACATTTTTAGTGGCAGGAATAATCAGCTGGCTGCCAGAACTTAAGCCAATATATTTCTGTCTTCACTGTCACTATATTTTATGGGCCGTATTCAAAGTGGAGTCGAGTGTTAAGTCCAGCACCACTGCCTGACAATTTGATGTAACCACAATATGTCACACTGAAATCCATGTTGTAAATACATTCCAAAAAACAATTTGTCATTTGAGACCAATAGAAAATACATAAACATGATCCTCAGTTTAAAATGCACAAAAAGAGATTGGAGGAGACTGCATCTTAATCAGAAACATTGCTTATCCTGAGGACTGAATCTTTTATCTTTTTTTTAATGGATAAACTTATGAATTAAATTAAAGTAAGCCATAAGTGTAGCGGATGAGTGCTTGGTCAGCTTAACCTTCAAATGTTCAAACACATTTTCTTTATAGGAGAACACACTAAATTAGCCAAAACTTGTCATTACTTTTTTTAATTCAACAACTCGAAATAGCAAATTAAAAATATGATAAAATAGACTACATCATGCACACACATTATGATTTCATCAATTAGATTATGAATATTGTTAAATTAAACTAAATTTTCAGGGATTACCATGATAAGTTCAACTTGGACTATTCATTCCGCAATATATTGGTATTATACTAGACTCACGTTCAGTGTTTATTTCAATGCCTGCCATCTTCTTAATACTTTATTATCAAATTAGTCTTTATTTTTACATTTTTAAAAATTTTATATTACATGGTATTATCATCGTATTATCGTTGAAACCAATCTGTATATTCTGTATATTTTTTCTGGCTTTAAGGAAAATGCTTGTGTTTAAAAAGGTGGTCTAGATGCTTTTGAAAAATCCAGTTTCATTATTTTCTATTTAAGAAAAATATGGTAACTTCAGAGACATGGACTGCACATAAGTAATTTGCATTATCTGCATGGTGCACCCAGGAAATCAACTAGAGCAGGTGCTTACGTTTAACTTTTAACTTAACTGTGTAAATATTGATGTAACTTTTGGACTTAAGTTGCTGAATCTGAATATGGTCCTATGCTGATGTCGCAGCACATGCACTATAAAAAAAAAAGTTGACTGTAAATTTTACAGTAATTTACTGGCAATATTTTTTTTTTGTTTTTTTTACAAGAGCAGTTTACAGTTGATGCAGGATACAACTGAGCTGAAGGTTAAGGGTCTTGCTCACTGAGCTACCACAGCAAACATAGCTAGGTTGCATTGATTCAATGCAATCTTTTAGTACGAGTAAATTCAGTGGTAGAAGTGGTTGAATCGACACAAGCTGGCTGAGCTGGTTGCGATAGCTCACTTATTAAGGCTTTGTGTTGCAGGTCACAGGGTCATGTGTTCAAATCCTGCTACCACCAAACTGCTTTGGTTGGGTCCTTGTGCAAGATGCTTAACCTTGAGCTCCTTTGTATCCTGTGTCAGCCAAATGAGCAACTATGCTGAACTATGTTTTTTTTTTTTTACTCTATAAGATATTACAATACTTTGTAATATCTTTACAGTTTATCTTTATCTTTATTGTAAATTTTTGCAGTATTTTACTGGCAATCCTGTTAAACCCTGTAAAATTTACAGTAATTTTTTTTACAGTGTGTTTAAATTTTGAATGCCTACAGTCCAGAAATCACAGTCTTTTAAAACTATGCGACTATGCAGTGGGTTAAATATGCAGACATCAGGTGATGCTGATAGAAAGGTATTAAATAGTGTATTTTCCCCTTAATATGCTATATAATCAATAAAATCCCCTCTATAATCTCTATAAAATATAAAACATTCACAGTAAAATCATGCTAAACACCAAATTTTCACATATCAGAGGACCTGAATGCACCAATAAGCCACTATATACTAATTATATTTGATGGCATTACAAGCACTTGGTGTTTAAAGAGTTGAAAGACGAGTTTCATAAAATGCAATATCTTCCATGTCTGTTTTTTACAAATTGTTACATATCACAGGAGAATTAAAGCCCTGTGCCCGCAAGCTTTATCTAGATAACTAGGCTTCATACCCACTCCGACAGAAAAAAATAAAAATAAATAAAAAACAATTTCACACTTTTTTTTTTTTTACACTTTCATATATGTAGGCACATGTAGAGTTCTTGGATGATTTTGAGATCATTTTTAAGAGTTAGCCAAAATGCAAAGCATCAAAGGAAGGTCAAGAAAGCAAGAATGAGGAAATGCTTTTGACTGAGAATGCTATTTACATACTAACTAGTATACTATTTGAATACCAACTAATACTGATAATGCTGATGATTATATTTACATTAATTGGTTGTTTTGGTAAAGGAATGTATTTTTAATTTATCTGAATGAATTTCAACCACCCTTGCTGCATGAGAAAACTTCTTAAAATCATCTTAAAGTTGGTTGAAGATTATGAGCAACTTAAAGATGGTGTAACTCAGTAAATTGGCCTATTGACATATTGTTACAGATAAAATATTGAATTATGTTGTATTTATTTACCATTTGGTTTAAGTAGTCTATTTATATTGTAATGGGGGACATAATAGTAAACATCTATGAAACTAGGTTGGAAAAAATGACTGGACTTACGACACTACGATCAGAAAAATGCCATCTTTATTCCTGCATCTGTGCTATGAGATGGTCCTGAAAGGTGGTGCAGGCAGTTTAATGGAGCCACAAAATACTAAATCAAGGTCACAAACTGGTAATGTCTGTATGGGATGTAGGCTATTTTATTTTGTGAATGTCATTTGCTGCACTCTCCTATAAAGAAAATTGCCATGGTTGAGAAGATAAGATGATCGAGCACTCATCTTACCATTTTAACTTTTCATGGACTTTAAATGGACAATATTATTAATTAATGGTGTCACATTTATGTGTTTAATATTGCCCTCATATGACATTTTATGATTTTTTTGTGTATAAAGAACCCAAAACATATGTTTCAGTGTGACATATTGTGTATTACATCAAACTGTGGAGGTCCATGGAGGTGCCTGGACCCCACTTTGAGAACTACTGCTGTATGAAACCAACCAACAAATTTCTGATTACTTTTGTAAGGAATCATTTAGTGAATTAGAGAGTGCACTGTTGGACATCAGACCAGTGAGAATCGAAAACAGGTGTGACATCATTCAATCAACATTGGTCTGGATAAATAAATAAATTGCGCGTGTGTGTGTGTGCTGTCATATGGCAATGTTTGTTCTGTCAGCTGCAGACATTGAAACAGCTGTTGATCTTTAAAATGATCCACTAACCTGTGTGTATGTCATTCACCATCAGCAGGATGACTAATCCAGCGCATCTTTCACTGTGAAAGGCTACAAATGGAAAGGCATGCCACACACCCTCTTAGTTAGCAGCAGCGTCTCACTTCCGTGTTATGTCTGAGTGCTATTTCTGTCATCAGCTGTAATTTTTTGATTGCTGCCTTCGCCTACACTCTATTTCAGTGAAAAACATTAATTCCAGGATGATTATTAGTGCAAACTGCAGAGATGAGACATAGCTAGTACAGGATTTTCCTCAAACACAAATGCTGACATCAAATAGGCTACAAATGTAAATCAGAAATCTATGGCATGTCTCATAAAAACATCAGACAAACCTTGAAGGATTTTTTTTTTTAATTGTTAAAATACAGTTATTAAAATACAATTTTTAAAACACTTTCCGTTGTGCCATTTTGGAGGCTTGCATAGTGATTTTTATTAGCAGAACACCTAGCTAGCTGATACAGCAAATATACAGCAAATATACTTCCTTAGACATATCTTCTCATATTTGCTGGATTGACCTTTGGATTCAAGAGCACGCTTTTGTTTTTTCAATCCCAGCACTTGCATATCCATGTGGTAGCCCAGTGGTTACAGCTTTTGGCTGCTGCTCAGATGGTTGTGAGTTCAAATCCCAGTAGTGCCAAGCTCTTACAGTCAGGTCCTTAAGCAAGATGTCCCTTTAACTGCTCTGTTGTATCCTGTCTCAGTTGTAGGTTGCGTTGGATTTCTTTATTATTACTACAGAGATATCTAATGCAGGCTAATGCAGAGATTGAATGATATAAACAAGAAAATGATATGATCAGAATGACACAATTCAGACAAATCATGGTTTTCTACTCAATCTGGATTATGCTGTAAACAAAATAAATATAATATCCATGCTCCATATAATTATATAATTTTGGGATCATATTTTGAAAACAGTAGTTGCAGTAAGGAAATCAGGAAGCCACCATTTTACCCTTGTGTCTGTGCTCAAAGGGGGTCTTTTCTCCTACCAAAATGGGTTTAGAAATGACTTCACCAATGGATTTTGTATGTCACACTGCTTTTAGTACCAGCATTAACCATCAAATTATGCTTGCACAGACACAACAATAGTGCCCTTTGTTAACAATTAGTGTCCCCCTTCTACTATTATCCCTTCTTTTTTCACTCAACATCCATTTCGTATTGTGCTACATGCAGTGCTCACCATTCACCAGAAAACGATATGTGAGAGAGTGAGTGCAATTGTGCACATAGCCCCTAATAAGAGTATCACAGTTCACATCTCCTCTACCTTGTTCAAGTGCCTGTGTCTCTTATTTGTTCTTGCTCTCCTTCTTTCTGTCAGTCTCTTTTTTCCTTTCCTCTATGGCATTGACATTTGCAAGCCGATAATGGCTAAGCTCTTCATATCTGTTTAAATGTCAGTGCTGGTTTCCCCTGAGTGTCTATCTTCTGACTGCTCCTCTCACACCTTAATAGTGCCAAGGCCATTCGAGCAGGAAATGAGAACTCTGCCCCATGGCCTCTTCACTTGGCCCAGTGTTTCACCCGCAGCAGGCAGAGATCACACAAGGAGGGGGCAGGGGACAGGAACCAGTGATCTGGGAATCAGGGGTGCCAGATATACAGTAGTTATACTTAATAAGTTTGTTGTATGTACAAAACACACATGTGCAAAAATAAAATAAAATACTGTAAATAAAAATTTCTATTCCTAAAATGTTTTTGTAATAATTGAAATATTGATCTCTATGCACTTACATATTAATATAAAATAGTTATTTGATAGCAATCACTTTTACTGTATGTAATTGTTTCTTTTGGCTCTCAGCAACTGTAATTTTATTTTTGCATTTGAGAGTGTCTGTCCTGATACTGCTGTTATGGCTAGTTCACTACTAAAGAGAGATTTTTTATTTCAAGGGTCTTACTTGATAAACCACAAAATTTATGAAATGATGAACAAAATCATTTCTGTATGATAATACATTTTATTCACCTAAAAACTGCTAAAAAATTTCTTACGGTTTAATAAGATCTATGAATATACATGAATATTAGAAAATAAACCTGTGTCTTATACTACCCCTCATAATTAGCTGACTAGTTAACTGCTTGTAAAGTAGTTCACATTTCTCATAGGTAGATATGAGTAGAATTTCAGTATTGAAGTGTAATTAAATCTATCAAAATATAGAGTAACAATCATAAGAATTTTATCACTGATATTAGCTATCAGTAACTTAGCTATAAGTTATTTACATAGCTAGCTCAGCACACAGGTTTGTGGCTAAAACATTTAGGTTAATTTGCTCATTAGATGCTCAGTGGTCCGGGGCCATTGAACATAATTTGTATAAGTGCATGTCTAGATGTTCTAAGCTAATAACTGTCCTTAAACTCTGTGGTCTGCAGGTGTGACCGGACTCGTGCAGATAGATGATAAAGGAGACAGAGAGACTGACTTTGCTTTATGGGATATGACTGATACCAACACCAGCATCTTCGAGGTAGGGTCTGGCCCCACACACACACACACACACACACACACACACACACACACACACACACACAGACACCAGGACTCGTAGGTATGTGTTATTTTATCTACCACATTCACATAGGTAGCTGCTATTTCTCAGAAACACAGAGAAAATGAATTCTCAGGAGGGCCATTATCCAAATACAAGGTAATTAGCTCACTGCATTCAATCCAGCAATCCAGTTCTCTCTCCCATGCCAACCAGTTAGAAGGTTAATTACAGGTTGTTATCTCCTGGTGTGCTCATGCGTGTGTGGAGGGGCATGGGGTGCACTCTCTCTCTCTCTCTCTCTCTCTCTCTCTGTCTCTCTCTCTCTCTCTCTCTCTCTCTGTGTGTGTGTGTGTGTGAGAGAGAGAGAGAGACTGAGAAAGTGTTGGATAGATTACTGAGGTAATCCAGCATTGCATTACATATTTAGTCCTCTCATATTGCAAATGACGTAAGATGTAATATAATAGAAAGAGGCAAAAATTATTAGGACACTATTTCATTGCCGGCACAAGTGTAATTTGCTGGTTAATGCGCTGAAAGACATTTCAAGTTGGTTAATCTTAGAAATGAAAGTTCACCTGCTGCCTTGAAAACATGAGTAAACTCAACTTGAAGATAACCTTTGTTTCAACTCAAAGTCAAGTCAAGACGATGATTAAAAGTCAAGATAATGGATCACTTTAAGTTTAATTTTTTTAAAACTTATAAACTTGAGTTCACTGTTCAAATCTTGTCATGACAACTGGAGTTAAAGAAGAAATAAGTTCATATCACTTAATGGGACTATCATGTTTTACAGTGTACCAATGTTGCTATTTTGGTTAGACGTAAGCCTTTTTGTCTTTTTTTTTTTTTTTGCATTCTATTCATATTTTTCTGATTTCAAGCAGAGGAGTCCTGCCCCATTTCTTTTTCAATAATCACAAAAATACTGAAATTAAATAATACTGTGAACTTATGCTTTGTTAAGTTTGTACACATAGTAAACTAACCATATGATGTTCACATTAGATGATCTCCTTCCACATGTAGGGGACACAAGGCCATTATTTAGGCAACATATCAGAATTGCACTTCAACATCTTCAGAGAACCGTTATGCAGCATCTTGCATTGCATTTTCGCATTTGCATGTCCTAGCCTTGGCTAGCTGGTTAACTATATGTTTAAGTATTGTCTCTGGGATGCCTAGATCTAGAGCAAAACACCCCACACACCCCTCTCACACACAGTCTTCACCCTCCTGCTGTCTGGCAAACAGTACCGAAGCATTCGGGCCCTCACGACCAGACTGTGCAACAGTTTCTTCCCCCATGCCATCAGACTCCTCAACTCTCAGAAACTGGACTGAAAGAGCACACACACACACACACACACACACACACACACACACACACACACACACACACACAACTGTACATCCTCCAACCTCTTTGCATTTTTTTTGCACATCCCCGCATTACATTATGCTGCTACAAATATTTATCCTACTGTACATATCTTATACTCTCTACTGGGCTGCTACTTCTTATGTGTACACCTACAGCAACTTATATTGTACTCCTTTTGCACTATTGTCACTGGATTCACTTTCTAATAGAGCTGTGTACTGGTCGGCACTGCACTGGGACTTACTGTGCCCATTGTCTCTCTCAGTAGTCGCTGTACTGTCTGCACTTGTGCACTTTATGTATAAATTTATGTAGTCCCTTGTAGTTCTGTGTTGTTCTGTGTTTGTCTTATGTAGCACCTTGGTTCTGGAGGAACGTTGTTTCATTTCACTATGTACTAACTAGCTGTATATGGTTGAAATGACAATAAACATCACTTGACTTGACTAGACTTAACTCATAATTTACAGATTTATAGACTATGATTAATAGTTATCAAAATGTAATCGAGTAATTCAGAAAAAGTAACTGTTTACGTTTAAATGTAAAAGGCATTATTAGCCAATGCTGAAAGTAAGACAAATTCATGTATCATAGATTATTTAATATAAAAAATAGACATTTAAAACATCAGTACTTACTGTAGATCCATTTATTATGTTTATAACAGAAACATAATATTGAGCCTTGATAAATGCTCATTAATCAAATGCTCATGGCTTCATGGCATCAGCTCTCAGTCTGTCAGTTAATTACTGTTGCTTCTTTTCCAGATTGTGGCTGTGTATAATGGTACAAAGAAACAGATGGAGACGCTGCCTGACATGGCCTTCCACTGGCCAGGAGGCAGTGTTCCCCCTGACATGCCTTTCTGTGGTTTCAAGAATGATAACCTTGCCTGTATCGCACGTGAGTAATGCACTTTTCTCCATCTATATGCAGCCTTTACTGATGATGACAGTCTCTTTACTGCATTGTCAGCATTCATTTATTTTTTTTCCCTCCTTAGCATGCATCATCACAGGTTTTCGTGTATTTTTAGCTGCAATGTGCAAATTTCACTTCTCCATTCTTTAGTGTTCAATTCATTCATTAAGGAAAGTTTTTCTCACACACTTGTTTTTTCAGGGACCATCACAATGCACCAGATGGTGTCAATTGTCGTGTTCTTTATCCTTGTCTTCATCTTTACTGTCACCGTCTTCATATATAGGTGAGTGCAATGTGGGATTAGGTGAGGGATATTGGCTCTGTGCAGGCACTTCTTTAGAAGGTTCTGTCAAATTTTGATCTTGTCTCATCACTTCCACTTTTATGGATTTCGTACTTCATTTCTTAATCTTTTTCTCTCTGTCCCACACAGGAAGCTGAAGTTGGAGAAGGAGCTGGCTGCTCAGCTCTGGAGGATCTTCTGGGAGGATTTGCACATGAGCAATCTAGAGAAGGTACTGCGCAGTGCAGGCAGCAAACTGACCCTCTCTCTGGTGAGTGATTAGATGGTGTTCATTAAACCAGTTTAGGAAGGTTGTAAGTTTGTCTGTAAGGTTGCGCCTCTCTCTCTCTCTCTCTCTTTCTCCCCAAAGCGAGGATCAAACTATGGCTCTCTGCCGACTGCTGATGGCAACTTCCAGATGTTTGCTAAGACTGCCTACTTTAAGGTACACACACACACATACACACACAAGCTCCGTTTAAATATTGTTTCACTACTCTGCTGGGGTTAACC